AGACGACCTGAAAACCGATTTGGCCAACTTTTTCGTAGTGCAGCCGCCAGAGTTCTATTGGAATGGCATCCATAGTTTGCATAAACGTTGGCGTGAAGTGATAGAGGCCAATGGTGATTACATTCATGATTGAGATGATTTTGCTTTTAAATAAACTGGGTTGTAATAATTGTTCATGAAATTCCGAGAACTTTCTTTCCAATCAGATACCTCATACATTATGTAATGTTGGAGCTTCATAGCCAATGCCTCACTAGATAATATGAATAGATTAACTGTTCCAGGTCATCCACCCCAAGGAAAAAATCCTATTTTGAGCACTGATTATGAACTGATAATCCTTTTGAATGGTGGTGGATCATGAAATATTATGGATGCTGGTAATTTGGTTATAATTCAAAGAAATTTAGAAGCCACTGCAGGGTTTATTAGAGATCCAAGGAGAATGCAGTAGATGTGGTTCTACTGTCCATCATAAGAAAAAAAGACAACAGAAGAAAAAGAAGAAAATAAAATCACTGGTATTTAAATAAATAAAAAACTTTAAAAAGGGAAAACAGAAAGGAAAAAGCAAAGGTATCTGTAGTTGCTGATGAAAATAGCCTTTAACCAAATGAATCATAGTCCTGTGTTTGTTGCATTGGCATGCAAAAGTGTAATTTGTCTTGTTTTAATTGATTCCGCTTGTTTGATATAATTGTCCTTGAGGCTAGGGTGAAAATCAAATGATATAGCAGAAATCTAATCAACCAGTTAAATATCAAATGCAAAAGTCTTGGTCATTTTTTTGCTTGTGTGGAAAACCTCTGGTAGTATTCATATTTAGCTCTTGTAGCTCATGCTACAAGAGGTATTATGTACAATTTTCTGGGATGACCTGTCATCAAGATGTCTAGGCCTCCATTTGAAATGCAAGGATTGGGGTATTGATCGAATAAAGGTTAATCAAAATTCTACTTTGCATCGTTTCAGAAAACAATGATTGTTGGGTATGATACATATCATGATGCTTCAAAACGAGGACGTTCAGTTGGAGCAGTTGTGGGAACAATCAATGAAGACTACACTGAATTCACCTCATCTGTCTCATTCCACAACAATCGTGAAGAACTCAGTTCAAATTTCAAGTTCTCTATCACCAGTAAGAAACATTTAATTTTCATCATCTTATACTCTATTTCATTTTTATCCTGTAAGTGACCACAATTGCCTTTTCTAGAGCTCCTGCGAGTGTATTGTCACAGGAATGGTAACCCACCTGATAGGATCATCATATTTCGAGATGGAGTTGGAGAGGGACAGCTGCAATATGTAAAGGAAGTTGAAGTGGAAGAGATCAAGCAGGCACTTAAGGTCCAATTCCATTCCCTCTTCATGCCTTCTCCCTGACATGGTGCCTAGTTGTTCATTCTCTGTATTTATCCCATTCAGGATAACTTGGGAGCAGTGCCAAAATTAGCTTTCATCATCGTGACAAAGAGAATCTCAACAAGGCTGTTTCTAGAAGGAGGTGGTCGACACCAGAATCCCAAACCTGGAACAGTCGTCGATGATGTCATTACAGACCCCCTAAAGTAAGATTCTTCTTTCCAGAGATAGAAAGCAAAAGCCTATCATTCACTATGACCCTGTTATTTGGTTCATGGTGAAGTCAGTCTAAATTAAGTTCTCATTACAACTAAATAATTTTGAATTAAGAGTGGAATGTCCATTGGAGTAATTTTAATAAATAACAATTTCTTGCAAAATCTCTGTTATAAGGGAAGCTTTGTTAGGAACTAATTTTAATTTTTCTGGCCTGTACACTATGTACTATGAAAGTGAGATAGTGTGGGATGTCACAAGGAAGCATAAAGGGGAAGAAGACCAGGACATACAGATAGTGAGGTTATCTATGGAGGTATAGAAAGGCAAAAGTCTTCCCCTGGCTCCAGCACTCCATGCCCCATCATCACTCACTCTTCATGTGCAAGCACATGCACTTTTCCTGCTCAAATTCCCTCCTCTGGCTTATTACTTAATACTGTGCTAAATGTTCTCCTTGCATTCCCAATTGATTGAGGTCCAAGCCTCTGTTGTTCCCATTTACAAGTCCCTTACAATATCATCCTTTATTTAATTATTGCTATACCCACACATGCTACATGCATCCCTCCCCCCTACCCCCCCTCTCCTCCCCCCCATCCAGACCCTGAAGGATGGAGTAACACCACATGCCCAGAGCTCTGCCTGGAAGAAGTGCAGGCATTGACAGGGCCTTTCAAAATATAGGTGGTTGTGTGCTCCTGAGCAAAGCCCAGTTTAACACATTAACTGTCAAATGGGATACTAGTAAATTCTACACACTTGCATTCAAAGTGGCCATATGACCTGCTGACAAATAACATGTTGTCAAGTATGTGTGCTTCAAAATAAAAATGAAAAGGAAAAGAGGTGAAGACAGTTTTCTAATAAGTTCCTGTAATTGCAGCAAAATTTTCCAGTCTCATAGCACTTAGTTATAGTGGATTTTGCTCTCTGGTCAAACCCCATGCAGATGGTTTCAAATTGTCAGCTGAAATGTTTTATTTTTTCTTTCATGACAGCTATGATTTCTTCCTTGTCTCACAAAGTGTGAGGCAAGGCACAGTCTCCCCTACCATGTATAATATCATCGAAGACAGCTCCAGTCTGAAGCCAGATCATTTTCAGGCCTTGGCATACAAGCTCTGTCACTTGTATTACAACTGGCCTGTGAGTTTATATATTCCATGTGTGATTCTATGCATGAGCATTTGCCTAATTTTTTGGAGGGTATTTTTTTGTCTGTTTTGCAGGGTACCATCCGAGTACCTGCTCCATGCATGTATGCTCACAAGTTGGCATATTTGGTTGGGCAATCATTGCAGGGTCGTATCCCTGCCCCAGATCTCGACAACAAGTTGTTCTTCTTGTAAACAGCAGACGCTGGAAGACCAACTAGCAGAATGGATGACATCAAATATACCATACTGTAGATGTTGGAAATTTTGTGAATTTCACTTCTCTCTTGCCATTTTTTATATTTTTTTGTGCTTGCATACATATCCTTTGTTTACATTATGTATTGTTACCCAGATCACAAGATAGCTGCCTAGCTGCCATAATTCAGATAGTAATTAGTTTGTGCTTCAAGATGCTGCTAGTAGGGCTCATTAACAAAGCAGGAAACCAAATCTAATATGAAACTAAATAGAAAGCTTGAAATGAATGAGGGGAAACACCATTTGGAATGGAGATAAATTGAGCACTAGCTTGCCAAAGAAGTCTCATGCTGGCATGAGCTTAATACAAGCACCTTCTGCCCAGAGCTGACTTCTTCAACTCCAGCCACCAGGAATAGGGAGGGAGCTCAAGAGTCATCAGGTTATCCTATGGTTTGCTTCTGATTCCACCCAAAGTGATTAAATGCTATGAAGAATCTAAGGGGAGGTTGCAAGAGTCACCCCATTGATCATGCCTTTCAGCAGTCCATGTCTGAGTGATGCCATTTAATACCTTTTTTTTTTGCAAGCATCCTCTTTCCATGCTTTATATTTGATAGCCACGACAATGTGACCTCTTTTTTGTTTCATGGAATAATTTGTTCACAAATTCCTGGTCCAGTTGATGTGGTCGATCTCAAGTGGTTGATTTGTTTTGCTTTCATCAAATACCCATGCATATGCTGATGTGCTGTACTTTCATGCTGATTCCATATTCCATTGTATTTTTGACTGATCCAGTGATTGAATGGCATGGATTCTGTGTTTTTTTAAATTATTGTTGGATGCTCTGGACACTTCAATTTTTTTAATGCTGTCATGTTCCTTTCTTTCCTCAGATTTCTTCTGAAGAAATCTGAGATATACTGATTCTGCCTGAAAGATTACTTTTGGAATTGTGATGTGAACACCATCCCATGGAGATAATAGTCTGCTGCCAAGGAACCTGAATTTCAGCCAAAATATTTTTAAATTCTTAGTTACCCCAGGTCTGGCATCTCCATGGTGGCTGTAAAGTCTGAATGAATTTCAATATTTTCCTTTGCTAATATCAGGCTATGCAGAACATTTAGATGCATGGCATATACTTGGCATGTGGCAGGGATGAAATTAGGTACGTTGATGAAAGGTGAACAGATGTAATGCAAGTTTGCTGTGACTCTGTCCCAGTGTTTTATCCTGTGACCAGCTGGAAATTCTCTGCTTTTACTGGCCTTTCACTGTAGCCACATATTGGCCATGCAAAGAATTGACCCCCTCCTCCCCCCCATTTCCTTGGGCAGTCACCTAATTGACCCCATATAAGATGGCATCTGATTGCAACTAACAGCTCAAATGATGGTAACTGCAGAAAGTCCCAGTACTGTACATGTATGAATCTGTGTATTGGGTGGTCTTTTATTAGCACAAGAAAAGAAATTCATCTAGACTTCATGATTATCTGTTTCCTTGCTCCTGTTTTATTGTGTATTTTTTATGTGCTGTGGGACATTGACTCAGGGAAACTAAGGGAATTTCTAAGTCTTCCTTTTTTTTTTGCAATACTGCACATGAGAAAAAGTAATACCCTACATTAGGGGTGGTGTGAGAAAAAGTTAAATGACATTTGTAAGAGTGTCTCTTCCAGCAACAGAATTTTAATCATTTTAATCCTTGTAGTATTTGAACAATGGTGTTTTTTTTTTTGCATCAAGTTGTCAAGAGCTTGCTTCTGTGAGGTTCCCCTTAACCAGGTTTTGATGTCGACAGATTTCAGCCCTGCTAGGCTTCATCGTTTTGAGTGGATTTTTGGTCCAACCTGGAGCTTCTACAGATACGCTTTCATGTGTGTTCTTGAAGCCTTAATTCATTGTACATGCTGTTGAAGCCTTTTGTACAGGCTGCCTTGGAAAGAATTTGTGGAAGGATCTGTTGGGGTTGGGAGGGGAATGAATGGATGCACAAACATTATTGTGGAATGTGTTTGTCATGTGAAATAAATTCTTATTGTTAGTTTTGCTACGCTACTGTGTTTGTGTTCAATTATGCGAATGAAACTTGAAGCTACTGCAGTGTCCTAAAAGACTCCATCTAAATGGGAAAATAGTTTCCAACAAGTCCTCAATCATCTGAGCTACAAAGTTTACTCATAGTTCTTTTTCCCCCCATTTTTCAAGGCCTTTTTTTTTATATAAAGAACGTTGACGTAAATTGAGTTCGAAAAAAAAATATTTGAAAGGGATCTGATGGACTTTCAACCCTGATTGCCTAATATTGGTTTTCCTTTAAATTCCGTGCGCTTCACTTTTTGACTATAATGCAACTATCCTCCAATTCTTAATATTGTGTTTTTAGCTTTTACACCTTCCAAACGATGGGACGGCATAGCCTTCCCTCCTCAAAACTTCGTGTTTTTTTTTTGTTTCCTCTATTCCTATCAATCTTGTACCAGCTCCAATTCGCAAAAGAAAATTTTCCAAAACGTCTACCATTTGATGAATTTTCTATTGTATTATCGCAAAATAAATATGTGGAAAACCGTTGCCTGCTATGATATGCGCCCAGAGACAGTCCGGAAAGTGTTTACAGTCAACCCTCGATATATACTGCCACTCTCGCTTAGCGCCTACTCTTTCCTGAGAATGAATCTTCCCCATAGGCTTATCATTGGCGCTCCCCCGTTGTAGCGCCACCCTCGCAAGCCGCCATCCGCCGATACCTTGTCTTGCACAAACATGGCTTACTCAACGGAAGTCGTACTCGATATAGCGCCAAGCAGCATACCGTACCAACTGCAATGATTATACCATGCACTACCGCGGTGGGAAAAAAATGACTTACCGTCAGCTTTCCTTTAGATTGTTTGATAACGAGAATGTGGGGAATGACTTAGCTTTGGCACGGACGCCAGGGATTAGAGGGGGGTAAGGGGTCTCTTAATCTGACCTTACCCTGCCTCTCCTTTTCTTTCTTTTGGAGAATGGAAACGCCTCTTTCCGTTCAAAGTTTCTCCAGACGATTTTTCAAGTGTGTTCATTATCCAGTAATGGGGAAAAGCACAGTTATAAGTGTGAGGAAAAGAGTGGAAGTGTGTCGTTACAAGGAGGCGCATGCGACCGAAAGTCAGAAAAACATTGCGAATCATTTTTCAAAGCTGTGTAGTTTAATTCATCCATGCTGCCAATGGAGAACAAAAAGTGTTTTTTTTTTGCTAGTTCTATTTTACATTTGAGTTATTTCGGAAATTTTCCGTTTTAAAAGTAAAATCGACGGAGAGTCAACAGTGGCGGTATATCGAGAGTTGACTATATTCAATACATGTATTACCCCGGGCCGTTTCTAGGCATATCGGCGTCCAGGGCAATGAGTTCCTATGGCGTCCGTCCCCCCCCCCAACCAACAACTGCGGCGCGAAGCACTACCGCAACTCTGGGGATAAGGGTCTTATCCCCGGAAACTGACAGGGGCTGATGGAAATCATTTTGTTAAATTTGTAATAAACTAAAGCCAAGTCAACGCATTTACTACCAAAGCTGATAATGTCTATCCACACGAATACACCGTAATTAAATACTCCTCTGATGTGATAGATTAACTCAACAGCTCACTCCAGGGAAACAGATTCAGTTTTTTAATTGTAAGGATACCAATACACAGTATTATATATTATGACACTGATAAAAAAAAATCACATTTAGTCGGACACGCTCATTCTGTAGTCTAGGTGTAATCCTAACTCCTGGACACTGTCGAAGGATTCAATCTTTTAATTCAATCAAAAGCGAGGGTTTGACTACCGTCGTTTCTTGCCTCGATCGGGACGCGGAATAATCTCACGCCTGAGATCGGGGGGAAGGTGTGACCTTCGCAACGAGTAATGAAGCCTACAGTGCCTCCAACTATTGAAAATGACCCTTTCATCGATGGATGCACCAGGACAGCCCTAACTTTTTTCTGATTGCCGTTGAGAATCAGTTGCCGAGCACGTCGTTTTTTTTATATTTTTCTTCGTTCTACGCGGTCTTCTTTGGACATCGGCACCGGCAGATAGGAAACCTGCCGATGGTGCCATACCGGCGGTTGCCGAAACATCTCTACACCCCTATATTCAAGCGACGTCCATGTAAAAAATTTCCTTGGGTTCACTTTGGGTCAAGTGAAAAAAGAAAAAAAAGGCCCCAGGGCAAGTTAAAAATTAAAAAACTTAAGCCTGCATACCGAAGAGAAAGACAGGAATATAGAGAGGGGGATTAACTGATGTACGTTTCGAAATGGAGTAAAAGAACATTCTACGTTCACAGCATGCACCACATGAGATCGAGCCGAAGACTGAAACGGAAGAGAAAAATATATATATACAATACTCAGTTTTCCCTCCCTCTCCTTTCCCACTTCCTGCCTCCGATTCAAACTATTTTTTTTTCCTTCCGTCTTTCATATAGTCAGTCTCAGCATTTCCAGAATTTGATCGTGATAAATGGCACGCTCATGCGGGTCACGCCGCCTCTTCCTTTCCCCGCCCGGACGGACTGTATTGTACTGTACTCGTCTCGATCCAATGACATTTCCCTTAAAAAATTTAGCAGATACATCGCGATGGTCGAAAAACTATCGATACCTCCAACCATCGATAGTGGTATCGATGCATCGACCTATCGTGACAGCCCTACTCGATACCCACGGCCCAATCGCAGCGTGGCTTCATGCCTCATGTACGAGGGGAAGGTTGAGGCCCCCCTCCTCAACCTTCCCCTCGTACATGAGGCATGAAGCCACCTTTCAAAATCGGACAGAAGCCCCCACCCTAGCTTCTGCCCGATTTTGAAACTGATATCAGACTCTGGTACGCTGGTAGGAGGCTGCACGGCATAATACGAAATATCATTATTAATATATTTTTCTCTCTCTCCAATTAGCGCGTTCGCATAAAGTGGATGCTCACCACATAAAAAAAAAAAACTTTTTGTTTCTTTGCGCGGCGCCCCCCCCCCCCTTTCCCCGCTAGTGCCCCGGGCGATCGCCCGCTTTGCCCACCCCTAGAAACGGCCCTGACCGTCCTCACTAATTGAAGCAGCTGAATCTTAAAAATATGAACTGAATAAGCCCTCGAAGCAACCAATCTAAGTTAGTGCTTAGTGAAAGATACCAATGACTTTGGTATTTAATAAATACTAAATATCTATCTCTATGAAGCCTCTAATCAGGGGTGCACAACATACGGCCTACGGCCGGCCGTGACTGGCGGCGTTGTAAGTGCCATTATGGCTCCTACCTTGTTGGCTACAGCTATGGTCAACCAAACTGCGCCCGGCGGTATGTGAGTAAAAATCGCAAATGGCCCTCACAGACTTGAGTTGTGCACCCCTGCTCTACATCATCAAAAGATGATATATCTAATGTTAATAACAGATTGAAGTTTCTGTGAAAAATACTCTAAAGAAACGCGATGCTGTAAGACAACCTGATTAGTCTATATGGCATATACAGGGTGTTCGAAAAGTCACTGTGCAGTAGAAATCACGACATGACGTAGGAGGCCTCACTGTAGCTAGGAATTACAGGCAATAAATCATGTGAATCGGGGATGGTGCTAATATTTGATGAAGTATTGAGCGGAAATTCATGTCTTTGATGATGCAATACATGTGATACGCAGAACAATACTAAATACATGCAACAAACTAAATTAATTCTACTGCACATGTGCAGTAGAAAAGTCACTGCAGTGACTTTTCGAACACCATGTAGAACAAAGATCAGGGGATCTTTGTTCTACATGGTGTTCGGTTTTGTGCACAACTCAAAAGACTGTGAGGGCCATTTGTGATTTTCACTCACCTACCGCGAGTAGCAGTCTAGCTGATAAAATAGCTGTAGCCAACAAGACGAGCAATAGTAGCACTTACAACGTCACTAGTCACGGCAGACCGTATGTTGTGCACCCCTGACATAGATGTATGTATTGAGGCCTGTTCGAGAATGCTTTTATTCACTAGGTACGATTTTTCTTCGTTCCTCTTGAAATATGCCTCGCCATTCAATTTGGACTTTGAAAAAGAATCACCCCACAATGATTTTCGATCGATTGCATCCCCTCCACTGTTGTGGAAGCGGGACTTACTCAATCCCCACATCAGTCTCTGACTTAGCAGGAGCAGTCATTTTGAGACAGCAGATGTCGTTCATTTGGATTAAATGAAGCGCTATTCAGAAGGGGGTGGGGGGGGGGGGGGGAGGAAAGGGCTGCAATCAATCGAAAATAACTCTAGCGACTACCACGTGACCGACTTGACGGCAAAAAAACTCGATGACGGCTCGATTGAATAGGCCGATCGAGACATTCAATCAGACACGTGTCGGCATTCCGTGGTGAACAGTGGCGTGGCGAGGGGGGAAGGAAGGAAGGGAGGAAGTGTTGAGACCCCCCAAGTTTGGTTCAAGTCCCACCAACTGGATCACTTATTCCCTAATAGGAATTCATGGCAGTCGGAAACAGCCTCATAGAAGCGCTATTGCGCAGACGAAATTTGCGTAGGTCGCATGCATGAAATGATATAAAACCAAGGTCGGGATGTGAGAAGTCTGTTGCGTATCGCGCGGTGCCTGCCGCCTTAACAGACCTCAAAGAAGCAATTCGCCATCGTGAGGCCGTGTTGAACCCGAGCGACTGAATCCCGAGCTCCTGGGAAGTTCAGGGACCTAACTTTAGGTCTTAGTTCTGGTAAGAATTATATATATGGTTTAAGAAAGTCCAGAAGTACGAGCATGAGCTCACTGCAAACGAGACGGGATGAAGTAAAAGCACGGCTACGGTTACGGCTCTTTCGTGGAACCTCGGCATGCCTTCACCACGTGGACGCAAAATCCGCGTGGAGATCGGGGTCGACCATGCTGCCATCTGCCCCGATTGCAAGACGCTAGCTCCGTGGCGACATCGCATCGATATCGGGACTCGGGATTTAGCCCGATTTAGCCGCTCGTGTGTCGGACGGCTCCGGTCATCCGTCTGTCGTGGCATCTCCCAGATGCAAGCAATCATAGATAAGGCAGGGTCGCATTTAGGAAATGTGGTGC